TGTTCCCAGACACGCCCACTGCAGGTTCACTGCTATCTCTCACACGCAGACGCCATGTGCTCTCTGGCTGCACATCACTACACAGGTGAGAGGGGCAAAAAACCTGATGAAAAATCTAGGTAAGAGCTTTAGTTAATCTTTGCCCAGATTGGGGAAAGGTTCAGAACTCGGAGATATTTCATTATTGCTGCCAGTTTCCCCATTGGGAGGTTATTGTGTCACTTCCTGTAAGGTTAGAACGCTGCATTCTTTTCTATAGTTTCTTCTTTCCAGGGAGACATTTATGATGCTTTTTGCGTTGAGGAATAATCAGCGGCGTCCATTAAAATGCCATTTAGCTGACGTGTGAGTAATTTATGTGCCACTTGGCCCCGTTAAATATTCACCAGGCCAGCCATAGGAAGGGAATTATTGTTCAATCAATACCTGACTTGTGGCCGTGGAAGGACTCTGATTGGCTGCGTTCATTCACACCGCACATCCGACCATTGATATTCCTTTCAGGACAGGGGCCCGTGTCATAGAAAACCAGCTCGGGTGTCATAAAAGATCACAAGGGCGACTGCAGTCAATGCGCGACGTACCCTATAGTGATGTCATGTGTTCCGGGATGCAGCCAGTATAAGCAACTGCAATCTGTATTCATACTCGGTTACCAACAACAGCTGAAAGCAGAAATCAGGCTTGCAATGTGGGTGCCTGTTGTACATTCATTTTACTGTAAGTTCCCGTATAACCTATAACACTAATCATGACCCTTACACCAGACCTGTCCCTAACACTAATCATGACCCTTACACCCGACCTGTCCCTAACACTAATCATGACCCTTACACCCAACCCGTCCCTAACACTAATCATGACCCTTACACCCAACCTGTCCCTAACACTAATCATGACCCTTACACCCGAACTCGTCATCTAACACTAATCATGACCCTTACACCAGACCTGTCCCTAACACTAATCATGACCCTTACACCAGACCTGTCCCTTACACCAGACCTGTCCCCAATACCCAACCAGGGCTGTCCCTATAATGATGCAGTGGTTGCCTTAGTGGTCAGGTGTGCCTGCTGCCCCTTCTGGCCATTTAAACTGGCTGAACTTTACACTGAACATCCGCATTGGGCACCGCAGATACTTCGAGAGCCAGTGCCGGCTTCATTGCAGCAAACAAAGTTTACAAAACCTGTTCTATCTCTCGCAGATCAAAGAGAAGGTCGGGTTGAATCCAAATGATGCCCGGGCCTTGTTTGTAGGACGAGTAAACACATTAGCCGTCGGATGCGTTTACTTAAAATGGAAGAAAAGATACCTCAAGGCAAGGTTCTCCCAGAACCGGTCTGTCTATACTGAGGAAAGGTGTGAGAAGGCGCAGTAAAAGAAAGAAAAAAAAAAAAAAACAGGCCTGTTTGAGTTTCAGGGTTGTCATGGCGACAACGGCCTTGTAGATTGGACGCCATAAGAGACTAGTTACTGTTTAACATCGTCTACATTAGGCCTGATTAAGAGAATCAATATGATAACAGCACAACACACAACCCTGCCTTGTTTTACAACACCTCGCCTAGCAGGCCTCACCTGGGCAGGTTCCTCCGTGACGCCTGTTAACTCTTTTCTGAACTGGAGACACGCCGCAAGACGCAGTCAATGTCAACACGCAGCTCGTCTCTGCCATGGAAGTCACTTACGGTAAGTGGACGCGACCTCCTATAAGAATAGCATCTCCACCGGCCTTCCCATACTTGTGGCTGTGTACAATACGCTTAATAATTGGCGACGGCACGACAGGGCACAGCAATTGGAGACAAAAAAATGCCTAAAAGGCACTGAGGGGAAATTGATCAAAGCTGGAGCAGTTGCGCATGGCAACGAGCTATTTTAACAGAAGCTGATTGGTTACCATGGGCAACTGCTCCAGTTTCGATAAATTCCCTCCCAGTGCCTTTTAGGCATTTTTTGGTCATATTTTATAGCCACTTGTTTATAAATATTCCGTATTATGGTCGTATTTCATGGCCACTTGTTTAATATATGTAAAAATACGCTGAAAAGGAAATAAATGCAATTTTACATATTTCCTTTTTGTTAGTAGATTTGAGTATATTTTTAATATTTGGAATTTTTACTTTCAGGTTTGTGCTTTTTGTTTACTATTATTTAAAATGATAGCAATGTGAAATGTTTTTTTGATTTTGGCTTTTACACTGAGAAAACGTTTTGGATTGTGTTTAGTTGCAAGTCCTGATTTAGTAAATATTTGTAAATATTTAAAAATATGAAATCCCGATGGCGATTGAATAGCAGAAATGATGATAGGGTGTAAATTAGAAAGGGCTTTTAGATCACAAAGGTGGGATTATTTTTGTGGTTTGGCGATTGATCGGCGGGTTGGCTTCTTTATAAGTTTCTGTATGTTTTTTTCACACGGTCTTATCGTGTGATAATAGGGAAGTGGTAATGCACAGGGGAAGTACACACCTTTTTTTTTTTTTTCAAAAACAGACCCAAAATAAACAAAATTCTTAGCTTAGCAAACAGAACGATGCAGAAAATGAAGTGAGAGGAAACATGATGACTTATTGGCTTCTTCTTAAATCAACTTGGTGACGAGATTACAACGGCACAGGATAATCAATGGCTCGTTGACGGAATTCATAAATATTTTACTAGGTCATTATGTCATCCCATTCATTTTATTAATGGGGCTGGACAAAGCCCAGGGGCCTGGCAGCCAAGGCACCTAAAAATATCTTGGGTGACGTCTTGTTTGTTTGCCGATTGGAAAACCATCTTCTGTGGGCCACTCAAAATGCTGGCTGGTTCTTTTTTTTTGTTCACGGTGCAAAAGTGTTTTATTAGTACATTGCATTACATTTTGTATGCACAATTACGTTTTTAGTGTTATACAAGATTAAGTATTGATGCCTTTGGCCACCCGTGTCTGAGCTGAGACACAAGCTTTTCATTTTATCAAACAACTTACTGAAAACTTTATAGATCGCTGGTTCGGCCCCATCTGGAGTATGCGGTCCAGTTTTGAGCACCAGTGAACAGGAAGGATGTCCTTCAACTGGAAAGAGTCCAGAGGAGGGCGACCAAACTCATACAGGGGATGGAGGACCTGAGCTATGAGAACAGGCTACTAAATGTAAACATGTTCTCATTGGAAGTAAGGAGATTAAGGGGGGACATGATTCTCATGTATAAAAATGTTTACCGGGGAAAGTAACATTAGCAGCAAACTCTTTACAAATAACTCCATGAAAAGGACGAGAGGCCACCACTTTAAATTGGTGGAGAGAAAATTTCAGCACAAGGGGCGTAGGGGTTTCTTCTCGGTCATGGTCTGGAACTTGATGTGATTTCGGCTGAAAGCGTGGAATCATTCAAGGGGCGATTGGACGATTTCCTCAGGGACCATAATATACAGGGGTACAAGTACTCATAGGAATGAGATGACTCAGATACCTATACATACGCACACATCAGTAGGACCATACACATAATAGGTTGAACTTGATGGACATGTCTTTATTCAACCTCAAATACTATGTAACTATGTAAAATGACAATTTGCCATCTTTCGCTGTTCCTAGGTGCCCCTTACAAGTGCCAGGCGGAGAGTGCAAGAAATTCTGAGTTTACTAGCATTGCGTTTGTGGTGGAGGCTGCACGCTCTGGGCCCACTGGGCAGCATTATCCACCGCATTTCCAAAAGCAAAAAGCCTTGCTTTGTATAGGACCTGTTCACACTAACGCATTGCATTGGTGTGGTGTTGATAAAATGATTCCTGTATCAATTTATCACAATGTGCTGCAGCAAATAGAACTTACATTATTATTATACAGGATTTATATCGCGCCAACAGTTTGCGCAGCGCTTTACAATATAAAAGGAAGACATTACAATCTAAAAGGGAGGGAGAAGTGATATATGAGGAGGTAGCTTTGGGGGGGATGAATTGTTTGAGAACATTGAGATTAAAGAGACACTGATTTATAACAACACATTGCAGTGCCCCCTCACATTGCACAATGTTATGTACTATGCGTTGCCGTGTGGTGTGCACCAGCCCTGAATATACATCAGCCTCTGGCTCTACGTCACATTCAGACATCACCAAAAGTCCACCCTGAGAGTGGCTAGCTATCCATGCTCACTCGCTATAAGGCATTCACAAAGCCTTCTTCCATCTGACCTCGACTTAAAGCCATACTACCGTCCAGCTGCTGTAAATGTAGCTCCCTGCACCCCAGATGCCATTTGTACTGTGTACAGGGTTTAAGATTGAGGAAAATAAAAAGTGTATAGCTAGATTAATGAATAAAAATAAATAGGACAGTGATGGGTGAAATCTCAGGATTCTATAAAATCACAAAGCTTTATATGGGCAAATTATTGAAAAACATAGCATTATACATGTAACATTACCTTTATCATTGTTCTGACATACAACTGTCCCACTCTGGTAACACCTTCTCCAGCTTAAAAATCTATATTGAGAAAATATCACATGTGCTAAAAATCTAAATGCTAGTTATCATGCTGATCCGATGACTTTAAAGCTGGCCATACATCTATAGATTATCAGCAGATTGTCTATGGTCAGATGAAAAAACAGATTGCTCTATCTACGCTAAACTGTGTGGATGGAGGAATCTCCCACTGGGCCAAACTTCAGTATCTTGCTCTCAAAATACCTGAACAATGCCTGCATCCAATCAGATTGTTCAGGTATTTTGAGAGCCAGCGGGGCCGACTAGCAAGATACTGAAGCTTGGCCCAATGGGAGATCCTCTACCCACACAGTTTGGCGTAGATGGAGGAATCTGTAGCACTTTTTCCATCTGACCATAGAAAGTCTGCAGATCATCTCTAGGTGTATGGCCAGCTTTATACTTTTGAAGCAGACATGAAGCAAGCATGCAGATCAGGAATTCAGACATCACACGGATTCTAATCAATATGCTTTTTCTGGGTCAATGTCTTGCAAAGTATTAAAGCCACAGGATTAAATGTTAAAGCCAAGCAACAAGCATCAGAGGGAAGAGCGCAATATCAACCCTCGTATTAAACTGCAGGTTTAATATAAAAGTAGTACAGGTTCCCTATCAAAGTAAATATTCATGCCATATACTGGTAATGAAATCAAGGCAGCCTTGAGATGTGTAATGCCTCACTTACTAATATTGATTTCTAATTCCTTGCCTTTATCGTGAAACATGATTTAGCCCACATGGCAGGTCCCTTTTAAAGTGTAAAAATATATATATATATATAAATACCCTCATGGTGAACTATAGACATTGATAGGATTTTAGAAAGCCATGTGCAGATTCTTACCTTGTTCATTAGAAGTTGTGATTTTCTGCCCATGACTAGTTTCTGATTGGGAGGGTCTGCCATCATTATAACCAGCTGATGCAGTCTCTGGGTTATAATGAGGACAGTCCATAGGCCAGGCCTACACTGGCTATTAGGGCTTGTTCACCCCATCTTCAGACCAGATCTGGATGTGTTTCTGCAAACACGTTTGTGTGGGTATTTTTGTTGCATTTGTTTTTGTTCTCAATTGGTTTCGTTAGGGTTTTAAGAGCGTTTAGATGCAGCTTTGGTGCGTTCCAGAGAGAAAACAAAAGCAGCATGCTGGACTTTAAAAAAAAAAAAAAAAGTTTGAACTGAATGCAATGGTGTGAACTATCCTCATGTTTAGTATTGGAATGAATGTGCATGCAGGTTTGGTCTACATTAAAAAAAAAAAATTCTGCTCTGGAGATGGTGTGAATAAGCCCCAAAACCTGTCTGCTACTAAGAGATTGAACTGCTCATTGACATTCATCTCATTAGTAGCACATCGGTTTCAGTGTGACTGCCAAAATATACTTTAGAGCTCATTTACACTTTGCATAATACAATGCATATGCTAGTGCTCTGTGACAACGCATGGCAATGACCCTGCTCTGTGTGCGGTGCCGTTCATTGTGAATAGCGCCAAATCGCATTGTACAGTAGAGCCCAACTAGGCATATACTGGGCGTTGCATTTTGAGAAATGGGTCATGCACTTTTTTTTTTTTGTGGTGTGTTGACAGCCTATCCATAATGAATAAGTGTACAGTAACACATGCCGTAACATGCGTTAACTCTTAAAAGAGAACTATGGCCAAACCTTTTTTTGACTGTAGGTCCCTTTAGGATCACAAAGCTGGCTGGCTGGTTCTTGTACAGGATGGATTGTACCTGAATTCTCAATTCAATAAACCGGACTGACTTTTCCTGAATAAACCGGACTGACTGTTCCTGAATTTAATAGACCGGACTGACTGTTCCTGAATTCAATAGACCGGACTGACTGTTCCTGAATTCAATAGACCGGACTGACTGTTCCTGAATTCAATAGACCGGACTGACTGTTCCTGAATTTAATAAAGCATGCCGACTGTTCATGAATTTTCAATAAAGGGCTGGCTGTTTCTGAGTTCAACAAACCGGACTGACTGTTCCTGAATTCTAAAAACCGGACTGACTGTTCCTGAATTTAATGGACCGGAGACTGACTGTTCCCAAATTCAATAATTCGGGCGGACTGTTACTAAATCGAGTAAACCAGACTGACTGTTGCTGAATCCAGTATACTGGATCAAGCCATCTTTATATTTGCTTAACTCCTTCCAAGAGGCGGCCCACTGCTTGTACCAGGGCTGAGGGCTCTGGAGATTAATAACGATGCAGGGTGCTTTGTTGTTTTCGAAAGGCTATGTATATAACCCTACCGGTCCCTCCCACAAGCCATGATCTGCCAGCATTGTATAGAGAAGCACAAAGACCCAGTGATTACATCACCGGGTCTAAAAAAAGGTATGTATTTGTAATAAAATTAGAAAGGTTTTATTTTAATAGCATTAGCATAATGACAGGGGGAGGAACCAGGGAACACAAAATATAAGCAGATTAAACTTCAGCTATAAGGAATTCAGCGGAGACATCTCCCCGCCCACATCCTGCTGATTGGACAATGAAGGGACAGCAGCACATTGATAAATCATTGATTCTACCCTCTCCTCCTTTCAGAAGTTCTCTTTAAACACATTTACATGAACATAATTGGCTCCTGGAGGTGGCCTGCCCTCTGCCAGCTCCTGTCTACGGCATGCCAGACACTGATAACAAGATTCAGATACTTTCTTTTGATGAATGTGGAAATACATTTCATTATGTTTAGAGTGATGCTCCGCTGTTTATGAATCCATGCCTTGAACTCAGTGATATCAGAAGCTACCATTTCAGATATGTTATTTCTTTCCTCGATTGTCCTCACACACCTTCTAGATAAAACTTCACACCATAAAGCACGTACATCCTTCCTTTCACCTCAACCTATTATTCCTCTTATCTGATGGAGACGGGGAATGTTTGCCTCACCACACTTCTCTACAATTTTTACTATCACATTTTATAGGATTTGTCACCAAACAAAGAGCACTTCACTTATATCTAGGATCGCGTCCGGATCAGACTTTTTCTTAACTTCTTCACCTTGGATCAACCTTTGAAATCATTTTTAGGTATCACGGAACCCCAACTAAAACATATTAAGTCTCTAGTTCGTAGTACATCTGTGTGACAGGAAATTTGTAGCTATGCCTGGTATTCGACACCCATCATTGATCGTTTCTAACACACCCTTGCTCTATACAACACATTTATGTTCAGGAAAAGGCAGAGATTAGAATGAAACAAACTACAACAATAATAGTGCCTAGAAAAGGAGTGAAAATTATAGTACCCCTTACATTGGTGGTCAGTGTAGTGCCCCCTTACATTGGTGGTCAGTGTAGTGCCCCCTTACATTGTTGGTCAGTGTAGTGCCCCCTTACATTGGTGGTCAGTTTAGTGCCCCCTTACATTTGTGGTCAGTATAGTACCCACTTACATTGGTGGTCAGTGTAGTGCCCCCTTACATTGCTAGTCAGTGTAGGCCCCCTTACATTGGTGGTCAGTGTAGTGCCCCCTTACATTGGTGGTCAGTGTAGTGCCCCCTTACATTGGTGGTCAGTGTAATACCCCCTTACATTGGTGGTCAGTGTAGTGCCCCCTTACATTGTTGGTCAGTGTAGTGCCCCCTTACATTGGTGGTCAGTGTAGTGCCCCCTTACATTGGTGGTCAGTGTAGTGCCCCCTTACATTGGTGGTCAGTGTA